ATTGCATACATATAAAGATTTATCTTCCCTGGTTCAATTCCAGAACAGTTTTACTGAAGGTTAGCTCTTCAGTTCCTGGCAAAAGAGAGATGCCATACTTTGACCTACGATTGGAATCTGTGCGAGAAGTCTCCGCTATTCGTTTTATCGCTTCCTTAATTTTTAGCCCTCACCCAAAGAAATCCTACCAAGTGATGTCTTTTTGGGCAGCTAATACTTACATACCAGGGGAACGATAGCCAACCCTTTTAAAGTCGGGATGGTGGCATTTCTGGTAATAAACGCCAAGTCTCAAATCTGTCACAATCCTAACATGAAAAAAAAAATTAATTGCGTGTTCTTACATTCTACATTCATTGATTTATTTTTAGAGCAATTCTAATTTTTTAATCAATTTTTTTTTTCTATCAAGAAAGTTTTAATATTCCTCATCCTTCACCACGCCATGGTTATAAGTTGAGTTAATCATGTGAACAACAAAACACAATGCAGTAGAATCGTCGCGATCCACCCACTCGGAATGCTAACCATCCCCCTGAGATTTGGAACACCATACCATGTAACAGTAATGAAATGCTCTTAGAATTACACGTAAGGAAAACAAATGAAGTTATCTTGTGTTACGGCATAATCTAACCGACAAAAAGAACATTACAATCCTACATACTCGACTCCTTTACCACACAACTTGTAATATTCTTAATAAGGAGCGAATCGTACGGTCAGTACAGTATTAATCCTGAATAAACTCACTTGAGTCTACTACAAGGTATATCTTATATACTGTGATGATCTTCATTTGCTTAAAAAGGTATATCTTAGTTCACCATCGACAAAAATAATCACAGATTTCTGCAAGGCCCCTAGAAAGGAACAATCTCCATATTAGCTTTCCCCCGGTATAGCTTTCCAAGTGGTCACTCACTCCCGACAACAGCTGGTAACTACTTCTACAAAGTATTCTGGAACATTCTGGAGGCTTAAAACGCAACTATTTTAGTAGTATACATTATGATTACGATACCTAATGAGATGTTCCAGAAACTTCCAGTTACTTGATAGCGACTATGAACTAATGTCTGAATACTTTGTTGGCTTTCCGCCGTCTGGGGGGACGCGTAATTAAGCACACGGTGGTAAAGGGCCCTTCCGCACTAGCAACCACACGCTGACAAAACTTGTTTCTCTTCGCCAAAAATCACATCAAAATTTGTCCTTGCCAAAATGTAGAGTGTGCTGTACGTATCAGCACCCCCGGGGACCCCTTTACATGGGAGGGTGGGGGTGCGCGCCTGGAATTTCGAAAAAGACCGCTATAAGATTCTAAAAGGTACTTAAGTATTATCCGTTTGGGAGTGGCAACAATTAGCCTGTAAAAACAAGTATTTATGTCCTTTTCTGTCTTTTTCTATGCTTCCCCCGCTCCTAAAGAGGATTCATACAAATATGAGAGCCGTGCCGCGTTACACCAGTTATTATGTGGCAAACGGTATGAACTCGTTCTTGTACAAAACTCATTCGGATATCATGTAAAAGATATTTTCAATTCAACCTAAACATAAATCTTTACACATGGTAAATATCCATTTGTGTCGGTATCAATTACTGTGTGACTGGCTTATGATATAAATGAGGGAGGGGAAAACACAACGCAAAACCTGGGCTTTTGTCAAAAAGTAATACCCGCGCGTAATATAATAATCAAAACGGCGAATGAAATCATAAATGAACAAGGTAAGAGTGTTGTGTTAGACGTTTTTGCAAATTGTAGTGATTTATGCCAGTTAACGGTGGCGACAAGTAGGCGCACCATGTATATTTCATAGTCACTAACAAGTAACTTTAGCCAGACTTTGAGTTCGTCTCAAGATAGAACAACACAAATACACGAGGAAATTTTTTACAGTAACTTTATAACCATTCTTTTGTCTTTTAAAAGCGTGAAGCTCAGTAGATTCTGTCATATCGGTCATTGTTAAAACTGTCTTTGTTTTGATGCTACCTTTCGACATAGGAAAAGTATGTCGGACCACAGGCAGCCCAGGCTCACGGCTCGAGAAAAAGCCAACGGTGAATTCATGAACGTGTCACGCGTTGTGTGACTCGGTGTTAAGTTACGGGAGGAACCGTTGAAAATTTGAACACTTTATAAGGAATAGTATGGGGAACGAAATATGGTCGATTTACAACGATAAGTATTTCGAAATATGAATATTTTACACGTAAATCAATAAAACTTACTCATGCCCTGTATATCAGTCGTAGTTTCTGGCGATTTCTGCCGTTTTAAGCTTGCTTTACCATCACTGTTATTCATGTCAAAAGACGAAGTCAAGACTGCACACTCCGATTTCGACCGTGGTCCACGCGGAGGTGGTTTGCGCAATTGCGCCCCGAAAACCCTCCCGATCGGCATTTTTCTCAGCCACACTTTACGATCTAAGATCACTGCACCCTGGGACATGTCTCAATACCAAAACTTCGCGCGCATTTCGCTGGAAACGAGCGTTTTCTACCCGAATTTCCAAGTTCGCTTCTTTCTGGCTATGCTTTGAACACGCAGACTGGACACGGCCGCGAAAGAGACTTGGTACGAGGTCAATTTTCTCTCTACCGCGAGTGGTACGGTCGATTAATGTACAATACTTACCCCATCCCCACAGAGACACCTCGCCTTAACCACCAAACTACTCTACTGAATATTACAAAGAACGAGTTTTCACAGGAAGGAAAATTATGAACACTAACACAATGAACTTCATTTGACAATCTGCGTGCTCACAATAGGCTAAGCTAATCGAAATTTTATTGTCCTTCATAATGGATGACCGGTGACTAAATAGACATTTACTCCAACGTAAATTTGGGGGGTAGATCATGGGTAATTCGGTCCAATCTTGAGGGTTTTTCCATTTTTCCATAAGTTTAGTGACATCAACTGGCAAAACATTGTAGTTTGATAGGCCATGCATGGAAGGGTAGATGCAATCGACGTTAGGACATTATGTGGACAATGGTATTTACATTGCGGTATGTAAGACTTCACACACAACGTTCGCTTTAATTACAGTCAATTTCAGGTGGCGAAATATTTCACCTCTCCATGAATTTCACAAGAAATCTACGCGTAGGAAAAAATAATATTCGTATCGGATTCCGACGTCAAACTTGCGAAAAGCTATGATACCTAAATATTTACCCTAGTTCGCACTAGGAAATTTGTTCTCTATTAATATAAGCTTTTCTCCCGTGATTTTAAAAGGAATAATCCATCCCTAAAGTTCCCAAAATGAAATCTTAGGATTTTCATCTTGAAACTTTGCCACTCTTAACTCTCTTCTGATTCGCTTCGCCGTCAATTTCACTGCATCTCTTCCTCTTCGATAGCATTTTAGCGAAAAAAAATCGAAGCTTAGATGCTCACAGCAAACCCCGCAGAATATTCAAATTTTGTCCGTTGTTTATCTGTTTTAGTTTCGACTCGCTGTCTGATTGGTTGATTAGGACAATAGGTTAAGGCGAGGTGTCTCTGTGGGGATGGGGTAAGTATTGTACATTAATCGACCGTACCACTCGCGGTAGAGAGAAAATTGACCTCGTACCCAAGTCTCTCTCGCGGCCGTGTCCAGTCTGCGTGTTCAAAGAATAGCCAGAAAGAAGCAAACTTGGAAATTCAGGTAGAAAACGCTCGTTTCCAGCGAAATGCGCGCGAATTCGAAGTTTTGGTATTGAGACATGTCCCAGGGTGCAGTGATCTTAGATCGTAAAGTGTGGCTGAAAAAAATGCCGATCGGGAGGATTTTCGGGGTGCAAACCACCTCCGCGTGGACCACGGTCGAAATCGGAGTGTGCAGCCTTGACTTCGTCTTTTGACATGGATAACAGTGATGGTAAAGCAAGCTTAAAACGGCAGAAATCGCCAGAAACTACGACGGATACACAGGGCATGAGCAAGTTTTATTGATTTACGTGTAAAATATTCATATTTCGAAATATTTATCGTTGTAAATCGACCATATTTTCGTTTCCCATACAATTCCTTATAAAGTGTTCAAATTTTCAACGGTTCCTCCCGTAACTTAACACCAAGTCACACAACGCGTGACGAGTTCATGAATTCATCGTTGGCTTTTTCTCGAGACGTGAGCTTGGGCCGCCTGTGGTCGAACAAAGATATTCACCAAAAAATAAATATATCTTTGCCAGCTTCAATAATGACAGGGGATTAAGTTTAGATGATAAAACAAAGTATTGTGTTGACAGAAATACCGTAAGTCAAGTGGGATCGTTACATGAGGTCACACACCTCGGGTAATATTCATGGTTAAAATTTGCATATTTGAGCGGTCGAACGAAAAAAATTATTTCTCGAAAACTAAAATAAATTTTCACAATAAACTACACCACAGTTATTAGAACATATTGGGATACAAAATATAAAAGTAGGAGTGAAAACGAAGTTTGGGCGACTTGCCACAATATTTCAAATTTGTTCGATGGATGCTGACATCCTCTCTTAAAATTATATTTTGAGGCAACTATTTATTGAAAGACGCAGAAATGAAAAGAAAGTTGACGGGTCTTCAATTAAATTGTGTGCGACGTACCAGAGAAAAGATGAAACACGAGCTAGTTACAGCATGTCTCTTTTCATCGAGTTGACGGGAGATATTTTGCAAAGCTCTGCTGATGTTTATTTTGAGTGCGTCTGCAAGCCAGCCTGAGTAACGAAATAACTTCTCCATTAGACAATCTTTGAGACATTAAAACGTTTAATTAAAATTAAGCCCATTATCAATATCTATGAAAGTCTCAACTGACGAAATAAGTAACGTTTTCACAATACGAATTAAAAGTCCCTTTCTCTTACTGAGGGAGCGACATATATTCAAAGACAGAAAAAGTGCTTTATAAACATAGCTATATAACTATCAATAAAACTATTTCACAAACAAAATTTAAGACATTTTATTACCACTACGAGCGTTTATAGACTACAGCTAAACGCGCCATCTGCCAACAAAATGTCGCATTAACCGAACTTGTATATTATAAATTAAGAATTGTAACTCTACGCAAAACGGATATATTTAATTCTTAATTAGAAGCTACAGTTTGCCGTTGGCTTAAAGACGCAACTACCACAAATGAAATCATGCTGGTCGAATTTTGATTTCGGTGCGCTTTAAAGAATATTCTTGTCCTCGAAATGACTCCCACGTAATACCTTGTGCGTTACCTCCGCCTTTATACAAACCATTTGGATTGGCGTTATGGCAGTAGTTGTACCACCAGCCACCTTTATAGGCTAACGCACAGTTTTTATTGTTTTGAACGTCGTTATCTTTGTCTTTGGTTGTAAATCTCATGTTTCTGGAATATCAAAAGCATTTCGTAAGAAACTGAAAAAGAGCCGGGCAGCAGTGCTTCTAACAGCACATCATAGTCAGTAGAGTGCAGATGGTATTGCATGGTCGGAAATATGCAAGGAGCACTAATTTTCAGCAGCGCACATGAAAAGATTCCCCTCTCAGGAAAGTTTTAGAAAATAGAATGGTAAGCAAGTACACATTTTTTTGGTTAATAATGTTAACAGAAATTTGATGTCAGTATCATGTTGAAAGAAGCAATCTTGGTTAGCAATAAACTGGAAGTTAAAATATCTGATCGGATGAAGTATCTGCATCCGGGATGCGATACTTCAGCTTAGATTTGTCATTTGTAGAAAAAAACCTGATCAGCTTAAGTGTAGGGATCCTCGACTTCCGGCAGTCCTCAACCAAATTCTTGGGCAGGAGCCTTTCAGAAATTACCCTTATATTACCAGTCATTCTCAGAGCAAAGTACAAAAAGCTGCAATGTAACATACCTGATAGGCCTATTGAGAGATAGCAATGCATCGCCTGCGGTGCCTCGGTATCCATCAATTGTCACCCGATAATCATCGCATTCGTCGGCCACAACGAAAGTCGTGTACTCGGCAAATCGTCGGTCGTCTTCGTAATCCTCCATATCAATTCGAAACACCATGCTGGCAGATGCAGTCAGACGGTGAAGATAATCGTTTCCGAGCCAAAACTCGCCTTTCAGATTTCCAAAGCCTTTTTTGTATGATTCCCAGTCGACATAAAAGTCTACTGAGCCATCCATGCGTCTTTGAAAGGTGGTCCATCCTCCGCCATCAGTTGTCATGTCACACAGCACTTGAAAGGGTTCTTCTTCATCAGGGTAAACCCAGTACACACCGTCAGTTGTGGAACCATTTTGATAATAGTCAAGACAGCTCTTGGGGCAATCTTTAAATGTAAACAGCAAGTAGTCAAGTTACCGTCTGTTATAAATACATCTTAAGGAGAATTTCTTATTTCTAATGAAAAGGAAATGAGCTTCTCTCAAACTACAAAAATCTACCGGGTCTCCACTTACCTCTGATACACTTACAGTAGTGAGTTTTTGATGTGTAGCTTGCGACACATATTTCGTTTTCTTTGCACGGGTCATCTTCGCAGGTGCTCTAACATTAGGGAAGGAAAATAGAGAAACGTATGTATTTTCAAACATTGATAGCAGACGTTTCGTCTTCTTTTTTTTTTATTTTGAATTCTTTCGTCGATTTTACAGGAAGATAGACAGTACACAGTACATAAACAGTTTTCTATTTTAAATAGTCCAAGAATGAAAGTTATGACACTTAACAAGTTGCGCGACGTTCAAACATTTTTCATTGCGTCAAACATTTCTTTAAGTCCCAGGCTTGTAATTTATAAAGGTTTCGCGCTATTTCAAGTTCGCTCAACTTCCACCGTTGCAAGTTCACCCCCTTGAAGTAAATCAACCTAAATCTTGTCTTAAGTAGCTCGCCAACAACTTTACCAAATAGCTTCCTTGCACCCGAACGCAATCGATTAATCGAAATACCGCGCTAATGCCTAGCCATGTTAAGTGGAGCACAACTACTAAAAGAATTATGCAAGGCGAAAAAATAGAGAGATGCAGCTACGATTATGAACAGAAAGATTCAAACATTGAGGTGCGATCAATTTTTTATGCACAAAGAAAGATTTAGCATACTTTTATTCCTCTGTAAATGAAATTTTCCTCCTCGGTAAAGTTAGCAAATCCAACAAATCGATCAGAGTCGATTAGCTGGCATCTGAATTTCCCTGAGTCGCCTTTTAGGGTTCCAAAGTTGTAAGACTGACATCGCTCTTCAACCACACATTCAAGCTGACAGGAACTTTCCGAATCCACATCTATTTCTTTCATCAGGCTTCCGTTCAGCTTTTGCCCTTCTATCTTTTCGGCAAAGCTAACAGCTTTCAAATCTGGCTCTGAAATACGGTTTATGCCGTACACAGCTGAACAGACGAGATTAAATATCCACAGATACATATTCATTCTCCATGGAGAGATTTTCACGTGAACTGATGTGGAAATTTCTTTGACTTTGAGCGGCGACCTGGCTAGGTTAGCAGATGAAAATACATTCTTAAAGTGAAGAAATAGTTTGCAACAATTTCTTTTACGCTCCTAACACGCGAAGAAGGCACTCGGGAGGTGTTTTACATAAACATTTATCATCATTATTATCATAATCATAATACCCCTGGTAATTTTAAATTATCAATTACATAAAAGGAAATACACACCCTCGACTTGTGATATCCCTTTTTATCTCTTTAACGACGCGAAAAAGTCCCTAGAGGGGATCTTGTAATTAAACCTTTTTCATCATAATTTTTGTAATCATCATACCCCAGGGAGAGTGGACAGTTGTTATCAATTAAAACATAAAAGAACACACTCTCTAAACTTGTGATATCCTTTTATATCTCTTTAACGGCGCGAAGAACGCGCTGGTTGAGAACTTGTAAGTAAACCTTTATAATCATTATCACTACAACCATTATATCCCAGATAGAGTGCACAGTTGTTCTGAATTATCAATTACAGAATAGAAACCCCCTCCCTTAATTTGTCATATCCTTATTCATCTCTTTGACGGCGCGAAGAATGCGCTGGGTGAGGCCTTGGAAATAAACCCTTATAATCATCATTATTATAATCATCATACCCCAGGTAGAGTGGATAGTTGTTGTAAATTATCAATTGCATAAAAGGAAATACACTCCCTGAACTTGTGATATCACTATTCATCTCTTTGACGGCGCGAAGACTGTGCTCTATAAGGTCTTCTAAATAAACTTTATTATCATTGATATCACAATTATTTTACTCTTGGGAGCAACGGACAGTCGTTATATATTAATTAGCTACATGAAAAGCATACCCCTCATCAACTTGTGAGATCGTTATTTAGCTCTTTATGCGCGAAGAACCACCCTAGAGGAAGTCCTCTAAATAAACGGCTTTTTTTATCGTCGTCATCATAATATTAATGTTCAGACTAGCAATCAATAGCTTTATCAATTAATTACATACAAGTCATACCCTTTCTGGACCTGTGATATTGTAATCTAACTCCTTATAGCCAAAGAAACACCTAGGGTAGTCTTTCAAATATTTAAGAGAAAAAGATAGATCGTTGCATGGGGGAATCTTTGAGCGGTCAGCGTGTTACTGCAATGCAAGTAACGTCGAATGAAAAAATTTGCAACACAAACCACCTACATTTATCTACAAAGCTGATTCCTTTCTTGAAATGACGAAGTGTACACCTTGCGAAGTAGAGCATTCAAATGGCGACCTATCAAAAGTATTTAGATTAGAAGGAAAGAATAAAATTAGAAGGTACGACAAACTGATGCTGTCAGAATTTTTCTGCATTCATAATTAATAGCCACCGCAGCAGTATTTCATTGTCATCATTGCTTCATCTTAATTCCTACTAAATTAAAAATTGACTTTTCGCTTCATTTAAGAATTGCCTATAATATTTCAGGGGTGTTACGTCCCTAAAAAATACATACACCTTATTCGATGGTTTAACATATAATACGCGGGGATATTTTGCGAGTTGTGCAGTATTTTTTCGAGCCCCGAAGAATTATTTTTATTATCCACCGTTATTTAACGTTTGATTTTGGTTTGCAAAATACATCCTACGGCCTCAGCTGTTTATCGTATCGGTCGCATAAGGAGTACTTGATAGACGAAAACAACCCGAACGAAACCATCAAAGTTGTACTTTGTGACCAACGAAAAAATCGAAGTTTGGATCGGTCAGTACGGCCATTTTTTTGCCCCTTATTTTTGCCCTGCTCTACAGTTTAATACCCTGGCAAATTTTTCGTGCTCTCTACATACTAGTGGAATAATAACCGGCGTTATTTTTCGCGTTTATATGTGTATTTTCTTAACTTCTGTTCAAGGAATTATATTAAGATTAAGCCGTAAGTTTTCGCCAAGCCAATCAAAAAAGTGTTGGTTGGAAGGTTAAAAAGAAGGTTTTTCAAGCTTGAGTCATGAAATTGAGATCAGACTATCAGTTTTGCCGCCAAACAAACTCCATTCGCGTCGAGTAGTTCGCCAACCGTTTGCATCCAATAATTAATTTGGTCAAAGCAGGAGCTAGAGAGAGAATCGGGGTGCTATAACTGATGATTTCGTCGAGCAACGGCTTTAAGAGTGTCCAAGTGGTTACGAAAACTTTATAAAGATATATTACACTTCCTTAGAAAACTAACACGACAGCACGACAGCACGACAGCACGACATGAAGACAAACTTTATGAGTAAACTCAAGAAAAAAATTCGGCATTTGAATGCCACAACATCAAATTACAAGTGGAAAAATATCAAGGTTTATTTCCCCTATTGTATAAACTCGATTACTAGCTTCATTGCGAAAATTATTTCCCTAAAATAGTTTTAGTACTTTTATCAAGGTCTAACTTTTAGAGAATAATATTCAAACATTGAGCCACACAAGTAATTTTTGATACATTTAAAGAGATTAAGCTTACCATTATTCCTCTGTAAATGAAATGCTATGCAGAGATGCATATATAGTCTTCACTGTCGGTAAGTTTTATGATGAAGAAAAATGAATGTTTGTTTCATTTCTATTTTTGGTAACTAGGTAAGCAGGTGCAAGAAAATTGAGAATCTAACGATTTCCGTTGAACCTTAGAAGAAAGTTAAAGTCACTTTTTTTTGTACAGTCAGAATTACTAAAGTCAATGACAAAGAACCAAGCAGTGGGACCAAGTTTTGGAATAGTAGCGTGCACTGCGAATTGCTAAAAAACTTTTAAGCCCGTGGCCCTATCAGGCTTGTTTTAATTGGTTACAGCTTTGTGTGTTTCCTGTATTTCCCTGGGGCATTTTCGCTTTTGAGTGTTTAGTTGTCTTTTGTTTGCAGGCTTCATGCTTTTTTTTCAGGCTTTCATCCTTAATGAACAAAGGATTCGCGAATACTACCACCGATATAATATCTGTGAATATGTATCCGTGTTTCTTCGCACATAATTTAGATTTTCATGCTTTTTTTTCAGGCTTTCATCCTTAATGAACAAAGGATTCGCGGATACTACCACCGATATAATATCTGTGAATATGTATCCGTGTTTCTTCGCACATAATTTAGATTTTCACTCTGTTTTCTCTAACTATTTACTTTTCTTAAATTGATTTTAAAATGTTATTTTTATACCGATGATACCCACTATTTACCCCTCTGGTCATAAAATAAGAGCTTTTAATCTTATGTAAACACATGGATAAAGGATATGGCGGCACCAACTGTCTATATTTCATTCATAAGTTTAGTCTTATTTGCAATTTATACCTTTTACAACAGGACTTATTTGAGCCGTAACACAGTGGTTAAAAAAACTACATAGGTCCAAAAGCGTCTAGAAAACTAAGGGAAAGAAACAATTGTTCAATACACAGGGTAGACGAAAGAAATGATAAAATTCATTTGAAATCCTGAAATAACTCTTTTTTTATCCTGGGGTTGTGCTTGTAGTCTGCAATCAAACTTGAAGACTGATGACTACTTCATCGATTCGCTGGCCCCGTCATTTATTTCTTTATTCAAACGCAAGGTTTTGAGGTAGAACTGTCTATTTTAGTGCAAATGGTGTAATTTCTTGTGGACAGTAACTTCTCTCCCACCTTGCAATTATATTTTGTTCCGTTGTGTAATTTCCTGGAAGGTTCTTTATTCTTTCTTGTATCACTGCTTCTGTGTGCGTGCCAGAAAGAACGTGTCACGCCAAATAATTCAGTGTATAAAATAACGTGGACATATTGTTATTATCATTATCCCTGCAGAGAAATTCTAATTAACCATTGAAAAGTGGCATGGAATATCATTAATCAGCTTTACAATTTGTTATCATTCATTTTTTTTTTTTTCCGACGCATTATCTCAGTTTTCAATGACAGGCCTGTGTAACAATAAATTCCTATATCAGCCCTTCAAATGAAAAATGCATGCATGTTACTAATTCATAATTGCCATTTTTGAATATCGAGGAATATACCAGTTTTTTCTTTAGAATTGAAAAATCCGCCCTTCACTCAATTAATTTTGTGTCATATTTCATTGAATTTCAATCTTGTCTTTCCTTGTAACGACAATTTAAATAACAGAAAGAAATAAATACCTGAAAAATATTTCGCCGCTCCCTCGCTTCGATTCAGATCAAATGCCTTACAACAGCAAGAATTCATATACAAAAAGCCTACTGCGTACAGCTTTTCCAGATCATTATCTTAAAATGAATATTATTATGAATGAGTTTTTCATTCATTTCAAGTCACTATGGACAACACCCTCAAACACCTGGCTTCCAAACAAAGGCGCTGGTGGTAACGCCGATTAGTGGTGATAATTTTAGACTTATCCTACCCAATTGTATGGTTGGTTAGGCATTTGTGCTCCGATAAGCTGAATTTTCTTTTTTGAAAAAGAAGACCGCTTTTTGATGCTCTTTCAAACGTGTACCAAACTGACGTTTGGTCTGTCCGATATACTCGTTTCCGATATATTCGTTCCTGAACACTTTTGTGATAACGAGGGTGTAGTTTCTCATTCAAAAAGCCTCAAGGATTAGGCACTGGACAGGAGTGTTGAAACGTTGGGTCTATGAATGGTAACTTCTCGGTTACATTTATTTAATCTCTAAACCACAGTAGCATCAAACCATGTCTAATAGTCCTGGTTGCCATGTGAATTTAATATATTTTGTCTGTAGAACAGTTAAGCAAACAGTTCTGAATCAAAACATGGAGTAACAATTTTAACACATTAAGCTGGGGATAGTTTTGTGATGAAATATTACAGCCAATTATGTGCTTTTTATATAATTTCTTTTCTTTGGAGGATAATAAATCTTTAAGAATTCGATCTCTTCAGAAATATAATGTTAAACCCGTTAGTTATGTCATGAAAAACATGTTTTAACCAAAAAAATAACTACGTTGTATCGCAATAGGAGTGTCTCTTGGTAAGTCACTTTCAAAAAAAAAGTATATCAACGCTCATTTGTCAGTGGCTTTTAAAACGTCCTGTAAAGCGAAGGACATATGTACTGACCCTGATATTATGAGCTTCCCTTGGTGTTTTTACCATAGGGGTCTTTATCAGGCACAATTTGATTTAAGTGTTACCGGCGTAGACGAGTTTTCTCTAAGGTACTATCTTCACTTACCCTGCAAATTATTTCTCCATCCACCACAACCGTGTTATTATTGACCATCGTACCAATAGCGTCATTCCAACTGAGACATAACAAAGAGACCATGGTAATCATTCCAGACAAAACGCAATGTTTGTGGAGAGCATTAACATCCATTTTACGTCAGATGAACATTAAGCAATCTTCGATAAACAGGGACGCAAATATTGAAAAAAAAACAGCAGAAGGAATCCTCCTATCTAGATTTGCAAGAGAATTAAGATTAACGCGTCTTTACAGATCTTTTGGCCATAATTCAGCTTAGCACCATCTTGAAGTTAAAATTAAAGGGAGTTCAGAGTTTAGGCAAATGTCTCGTGGTTCAAAACATCTTTCTCCATGCTTATTTTCTATAAGTTTCTGTTGAAATGTAGCAGACACTTAAAATTATATTTTGAGGTAATTATTTTTTGAAAGACGCAGTGAAGAAAAGAAAAGAGGACAGGTCTTTAGTTGAGTTATGTGTGACATACCAGAGAAAAGGTTGAAACACGAGCTGATTGTAGTAGATCTCTTTTCATCGAGTTGACGGGAGATATTTTGCAAGGCTCTGCTGATGTTTATTTTCAGCCCATCATCGATATCTATGAAAGTTTCAACTGAAGAAATAAGTAACGTTTTCACAATAAGAATTAAAAGTCCCTTTCTCTCACTGAGGGAGTGACATATTTTCAAAGACAGAAAAAGCGCTTTATATACGTAGCAAAATCAGTAAAACTATTGCTAAAACAAAATTTGAGAAAGTTTATCACCACTAAGAACGTTGAAAGACTTCAGCTAAACTCGCCATCTGCCAAAAAAATGTCACAATAACCGAATTTTTATATTACAATCATCACAAATTAAATGAAGAATTATAACTCTACGCAAAGCGAATATCTTTAATTCTTAATTAGAAGGTACAGTTTGTTGTTGGCTTAAAGACGCAACGACCATAATTGAAATCACGCTGGTCGAATTTTGATCTCGGAGTGCTTTCGAGAATATCTTTTTCCTCGAAATGACCCCTATGTAATACTTCATGCTCTACCTCCGCCTTTGTACAAACCATTTGGATTGGCGTTATGGCAGCTATTATACCACCAGCCACCATTATAGCCTAACGCATAGTTTCCACTAGAACGAACGTCGTTATATTTGTCTTTGGTTGTAAACCTCATGTTTCTGGAATATCAAAAGAATTTCGTAAGAAACTGAGAAAGAGCCGACAGCAATGCTTTTAACAGAATATCATAGTCAATAAAGTGCAGATGGCATTGCATTGTGGGAAATATGCAAGCAGCACTAATTGTCAGCAGTGCACATAAAAAGATTTCCCTATCAGGAAAGTTTGAGAAAATGGCATGGTAAGCAAGTACACATATTTTCTTGGTTAATAGTGTTAATAGGAATTTGATGTCATAATAACGTTGAAAGAAGCAATCCTGGTGAGCAATAAACTGGAAGTTAAAATGTCTGATTGACGATGATGCATCCGGGATGCAATACTTCAGCTTAGATTTGCCATTTGTAGAAAAAAGCTGATCAGCTTAAGTGTAGGGATCTTTGACTACAAACCATCATCAACGTATTTCCAAATTCTTGGGCACAATCTTTTAAGAAATTACCCTTATATTACTAGTCATCCTCAGAGCAAAGTCGAAAAACCTGAGAGATAGCAATGCATCGCCTGTGGTGCCTCAGTATCCCGGCATCGATTGTCACCTGATAATTATTGCCTTCTTCTGCCACGGCGAAAGTCGTGTACTCGGCAAATCTTCGGTCGCCTCCATAATCCTCCATATCAGTTCAAAACACCATGCCGGCAGACGCAGTTAGACGGTGAAGATAATCGTTCCCGAGCCAAAACTCGCCTTTCAGGTTTCCAAAGCCTCTTTTGTATGATTCTCAGTCGACATAAAAGTCTACAGAGCCATCCATGCGCCTTTGAAAGATGGTCCATCCTCCACCATCAGATGTCATGTCACACAGCACTCGAAAGGGTTCTTCTTCATCACGGTAAACCCAGTACACACCATCAGTTGTGGAACCATTTTGATAATAGTCAAGAGAGTTCTTAGACCAATCTAGAAATTAAACGCGAACGTAAAACGCTTTGACAATCACGGAAAAAAAATCTATATATTCTCGCTCTCTCTCCCTCTCTAAATATTTTTGTAGTGGATGTCGCATCTTTGATCTTTCGTGACCTTGCCTCATCTGGTGGCTAGTCAACAACACAAGTTTCATTCTCCTTGCAAGCATCATCTTCTTCGCAGGTGCTCTAAAATTAAATAAAGAGAATTAGTGTGCAAAGAGATATCAAAAGGATGATGGCAGACTTTTTCG